AAAAAAAAAGAAAGGCCGAACAAGCTGAACATAGGAAACATACAAGTATACACAAGCTTGTTCTAGGGCCATCATTGTAACACCAATCTCTTGCTAGTCATTTCCTTTGGAGATCAACCATTATTCTCGTCAATCTCACAACAAATCGGAGAAATATTGTGTTACTTTATTTCCCGCAAATACACTTCACACTTACCTAATTCATCTGGTTATATTCAATCTCTGAATTAAGGATTGTTGGCAATCGCTCGTCAACAAGCATAACAACATGTATGGAGACACATTTTCAAAAGCGTTACATCTATATACATTTATAGACAAATTTTCAATATCGTTTCAAATTCTTATAAATAAAAAGCTTGTACCGGATCATGTAGAACATCTTTGGTCACACACTCACACTGGGACCTGAAACTGATTTCAATGCTCTCAAACAACACCAAGAAACCATTTGTGAGTATTTTTCTTTATATTTTTTTCTCCATTTTCTCTATTGCCTCGCTTGAGAGGAGTTCTCGTAGAGGAGGACGGACAAAAACTTATAAGATTTGTTCTTCACTCCTTTATTACGAGTTAATGTCACTTGATTTGTTTGATTTGTTTATTTCAAGCATGAGTTAATTCATTTATCCTAACTAGGGATTTTTAATTCTTGTCTTAGATTGAGTTGAGTGTGTGATTCATGCCGGTGCGAGTTGTTTGAATCCAACTGTTAGTCTATCGATCATCACCTAATCTAGCTAAATAACTATTAAAAGCGGAATGATAGAGGTTATTTGACATATGCTCGTATAAGGTAGGCATGTTGGTAACTATATTGCTTATGTGCTAGATGATTTGATGAATGTGCCGTTTTTATGTTTGTTCTCATGTTACAAGTAGTTATTGAGAATAAATCTCTAGACGTATTAGTTTGTCCAATCATTTTTTTTTTTTTTGGTCAAAAAAAAAAATGTTTAGAAATTTGTCCAATCATTTAACCGAACAAATATGAGTTCAACTAGATTTTGTGACTTGATCATATTATTTTCGACCCTAGATCTTCTTTATATCTCGTTATTTTATAGATATGTAATTGTTTTTTATTCTTGGTAATTCTTAGATAATTTTATCAAACTTTTCGAGATTATA